GCCTGTCGCGGAGTTAGAGGAAGTGGGCGGGGCGGGAAGGAAAAGCGAGGGAACCGGCCGGCTGGGCTGTACCAATAGGAGAAGAAATTGGGGGGGGGACGTAGAAGGGTTGTTGGGTTGAACCAAAAATAGGAAGAGTCAGCGAGGTTTAGGTAGTGGCTGAGAGAAGCTTTTAGGCGCTCAGAGAAGGTGGGACTCCAGCTCCCATCAGTCTCCGCCACGGTGGCCACTGGTCCAGGGGTGATGGAGAGGGTAGTCCAACATCTAGAGAGCTCAGGGGTGTCTGGGGTGGGAGTTCGATTCCCCCACTGCGTCTCCTTGACAAGGACTTGACAAGGTCCCTTCCTGCTCTGCCATTCAATAATAATAATAATAATAATAATAATAATAATAATTATTATTATTATTATTATTATTAATAACAACAACAACAACAACAACAACAAAACATTATTAATATTAATATTAATATTAATATTAATATTAATTATACTCACAAATAGCTCCTTCTTATTCCCCATGTACATGCCATAGTTGCTGTCTTGACTTTGAATGCTGCAGTTCCAAACAATGAACTCTGCTGGAGGGCTCAGGGGTTGGGAGTTTGATTCCCCCACTGAGCCTCCTTGACGGGCTGGGCTTAATTGTCCGGAGGGTCCCTTTCCGGGGGATGTGGGCGCTGTAGGTTAAACCGCTGAAGCCTCTGTGCTGAAAGACCAGAAGACCAACAATCATAAGATCGAATCCATGCGACGGAGTGAGCTCCTGTCGCTTGTCCCAGCTCCTGCCAACCTAGCAGTTCGAAAGCATGTAAAAATGCAAGTAGATAAATAGGTACCACCTCGGTGGGAAGGTAACAACATTCTGTGTCTAGTCGCGCTGGCCACATGACCACAGAAACGGTCTACGGACAAACGCTGGCTCTACGGCTTGGAGACAGGGATGAGCACCGCGCCCTAGAGTCGGACACGACTGGACTAAATGTCAAGGGGGACTTTTACCTAGGGTCCCTTCCAGCAATGCAATTCTAAGATTATTCATTCATTCATTCAAAAACACCAGGCACAGTCAATCAAAATTATGAAGACATCGCTGCTGGATAACATACAAGTTTAAAACAAAAACCTAAGCATCTGCTAAATATTGGCGCAGTATGTATGCTGTTCCTAATATTGCTGGGGAGCTTTTTTAGCTCTGGTGGTGTGATTTCTGAGAACTGCAACTGCTTGTAATATTGTGTAATATGTCTTGACGTTGTTCCCAAAGCCCTGATGTCTAATGGGGACCACTGGAGTGTGTTTCATCCACAATTTTTATTGTTGTTATTTTGGTACTGCAACATTCATTAACACATGGCACATTAAGCAGGAAACCTGTGAGTTTAGAACGCCACCGCCAGCCTCCTCACCTACTGGGGGACAGGAAGTCCTCTTGGATCAAGATGCCAGACCTCAGGACACATAGCAGCTAGTCTTTAAGTTGCCCCCACGTTTTTGTCTTTTTAAATTTGTTGCGTTTGATATGCACAGTCTAACATGGCTGTCACTTGGAAGACCTCAGGGTTTAATTCTTGAGACCCAGGTTTTTGGGGTTCATTCTCCTGATCTAAGGTTTTGGCCCTGAAGTCTGTGGGGAAAGTGATGTTAGTGGCCCAATACCTCTGATCTGATCGGAGGGCTCTTCTTGACATGACACAGATCACCCAGGGATCTGCCAGTAGATCCAAATGTACTCTCATGTCCAACCTTTGGTTTATAAGCAGGGGTCTCTTCTCCTTTTAGCAATATATTTGATCTTTTCCTTGGGTTGTGTCCTTCAGCTTGCAGATCAATCCCAACAGGAAGAAGACCCACAGTAGCAGGACTGCATCATGTATCTTTAAATTCACCATTATGTTTCCACACTGGCTGTCGCACACACACGTGCACGAACACACACACACACACACACACACACACACACACACACACACACACACACACACACACGAGTTTTGCAGTTGTCGTTAAAGCTCTTCCCACCTCATCTCAATGCTACATACCCTAGGACATCACAAGCCAAGATCCCTAGGCTTCAGATTTGGGACCCGATACCTCAGAGAACAGGATTTTATTAAGCTGGTAAGTTGGATTCTTGGACTCCGTGGCACGCTTTCTTTTGAGTAAGTATGTGTGCCACTAGAATTGCTAGGTTTCAGGATAATGACTACAGTTTTAGGGAATGACTCTGCTTTTCTGGGTTTCGAGGCAGGGAGACAAATCTCACAGCCAGTAGCGCCAGTATAGGAAAAGGTTTAATTTTTGCATGTGCTGTACGTACTCATCATCACTCTTCCTGGCCGGGGTTCACTGGATGATCTAATAAGGCCCTACCCATCATTTTCATCAGGCAGTGCTTATTTTCTCTGCTACTTTTTACAGTATTTTAAATGTACCCATGAAAGTGAGGCTTCTCGTTATGTCACTGTGACCTTGGTGATTATACTGAAGAAAAGCACACCATTAAATTATGTTTTATGTATATGCTTTGATTTGTTGAAACTTTTCCTGGAAAGTGTACATAATTGCAATGTTCCTGTGAGACATTGGGGGGGGGAGTTTGAGAACTGTTGCCCTAAATCAAGTGTGGCTAATAAGCCAGGATACTTAAGAGATTGTGCAACATCTTTTTTATCGAAGATTTCTCTTTCAGCAGATCCATCTTCTTTGAAGCCTTTGTCTGCATCCCCAACAGATGAAACACAGGCTAAATCTGCAGAACTTGCCTCACCCGCCACGGTTTCTTCATCATCTATTGCCTCTCCTTTCACTACCGTTTACACAACTATCAAAATCTGTGGGGTCCATTTAAAAGTGCCCTTTTTTAAGTGACAGTGGTAGTCTGTAAATCATACAATATACTTTTATTTATTAAGAATCTTTCGTGCTGCATTTTGATCATATGATCCTCACGATGGCTTACAACACCTTCAGACCTGCTATGGGATGCGCTAGCACTTCCCAGCAAAACCAGGAGTGGCCAGAAACAAGATTTGTCTGTGTCTAAAAGAAGATGGGGGTCACCCCCTTGCTTTAACCACCAGAAGGGGGTCTCTTCTTTTTGTTTCTTTTTTTATTCACCCCCTTTTTTTGCAGAACAAAGAGGGAGAAATAAGGGCTTCTGGCAAAACAACAACTAAGACAACCAAACTCTTGGGGCTACCCCACAACCCATGGAGTATTTGATTCCCAACCGTGCACTGGTGTAATTACGGCCCCCACACAAGCCACCTGGCCTAGATGCCCTGAGTGGCCTGGGTGGACCATGAAGCTTGGTGACTCCAGTTCCATGGGGGTGATGAATCCATTCCATGTTTTGTTCTTATCTTTACAGCAGCCTGCCAGAGTTCTGAACCTATTTTAAGGGAGGGAGTGTAGAGCTTCTGTGCAAATTAAAACAAATTATATATATATATTTTTTTTTAAAAAAAGGTGGGGAACCACAGGGTTCTGGGGGGAAGCAAAGCATAGCAAAACTGCCTCCCAACCCCCTAAATGCACCAGAGGACTTTTTCAACCTTATCATTTTCCAAAAAAAATTTTTAATTTAAATTTGTGAGGGTTGGCTCGATGCCCAGGTGGACTGCATTTTGGCCCCTGAGGCTACATCCAGGCCCCAAGTTGCATGTTGCCGACCTCAGATTCTGAGGAATGCCACCGGGGGGGCTGTGAATTTTGTTGCTGGCACCGTGCAATTACTTTAGAACTTAAGGCGATGACGGGAACCTTTTGTAAAACCACTGTCCTTTTGCAAATACACCCATTTTCTTGACCCAAAGAGCATTTTTCATGACAGCCATCCACCTCCCCTTTTTTTCCACCAAAGTAAGGAAATAGGCTCCAGAAGGCAGCTTGAGGGTTGACAGTCATAAATTTATGTAATATGACAGGGTCTTTTTAGAGAGATAATTGCTACATTGGCATCATATAGCGTGGGATATATTTTCTTTTTTAAAATCCATATGAATCCAGAAGACAGTGTGATATAAGAGTTTTGTAAAGCCCAGAACACAGTAGGTATGCTTCTCGTTTCAGAACATTCTAATGATCATGGAGAAACTTTACTAACCGTCTCAACCAGTGAGATGAATTTATTGGAGAGTCAAGAGGAACCTAGAAACAGTCTATTGTAAACCAGTGAAAATGGAAATAGTCCAGAGTCTGCAATCCTGGCTTGAGGATGCAGTAGAAATAATTCAGAAAGCATTATCCTGCTTAATGCAGAGCTCCCACAGAATTCCAGATACATGGAATTTCCGCCTTTTAAAGAAACCTAGAGATTAAAACCAACCTTTCAGTAACTGTAGGGCAAATCAAGAATATACTTCAGCTCGTTGGCAGGAAAATGCATGGCCAAATTAATACAAAATCCACAAACAAATTGCATCATCTTTTTTGATTCAGCACTACAGCACTTTAGTGTTGCTGGGGTATTGCTTATCTACAATCGGGGGCAGAATGAAAGTGATGTGTCCCTACAGCACTTTACATAGCCCTATGTTAGCCAGCAAGGGCATCTGCCAGTACTAAGATTCTTCTGTAATGTTTACTCACCTATGCGTTCAGTTTAGTTTTTAAATAAAAAACACCCTGCATTTGGGTTTTTCCATTGTATGCTTTGGCCGTTTTATTATTTCCTGTGCAGGTCTCTGATGTATTAGCCATGACGTGTTGGTGGGGTGCAGCTTTAATTACTGGTTTCCTTGCCTTATTTTTTATTTCCCTTCTTTTGATGCAAACAACTGTTATTCTGCTATTAAAAAAACAAA